GTTCACGATGGAAACGAAGGAACAAAGTGTCATAATTAAAAAAAAATCCTCGAATATTAGTCGTTTAATTTTTGCCAGACGTTAAATTATGACAATCCATTCTTGCTTGTGTATATAAACACTTGCAAGAAAATTAACCTACATTGCCTTCATAAAGTCTCTCAGAAGACGAAACACGTCGGTTAAGAATCGTTTTTCCTCTCGTCTTTTTATTTATTTTTTCCCTTTGTCTTTTAAGATACATACATAAATACACACACATACAGACATACATACATACTAAAATATATATATATATATATATATATATATATATATATATATATATATATATCCAAGCGTCAGTTTTTTCTTGACATGTTGACCGTATTTTTATACTTTATCGTAGATTTGACGTTTAATGGATTAATCTAAACATACCAATAAGTATATTTTTAATTCTGACTTTATGTGTGCCCTTTAACTTCCAAAATGTGGTAACAAGTGTTTTTCGTGTTGAAAATTTCCATAATAAATCATTTTATCTACCATCGCCTGAGGAAATACTTTCCTAGTACTGAAGCATGAAAGCTTTTTTTCTTGGATGTAAATTGTTTTGTTAATCTATTATAAGAAAATATAATGTATTACATTATATATATATATATATATATATTATTTATTTAATTAAAATTATAATCTGAGCAAGAAAATCACTACAAAATGTTTTTTTGTAGTGATTTTATAACATTTTATTTATAATTTTTAAAATAAATTATATCTGTTTGAACACTCTTAAATGAAAAAACACTCGACAAATTTGAAAAAAATAACTTTTCGTGACGTGTTTCATAGTTAATTTTATCCGGACTATGTTGTCAATAAACGAGACCGAATATTTTTCAAATCGCCAAAATCTGTATTCTTTTTTTTTTTTGTTTCTATCGTTTGTTTCTGACTATCCCACATTGTGACAATAGAAAATCTACCAAGGAACCTGTAGAGGTCTAAACAAAAGTCTATATGTATACAAAAGGAACATTAAAAAAACAACGCCCAAAACGCATTGGTTTTGACATAGACAATACTACCAAAAGAGTTCAGTCACTGGACAAATTTGTGTCCAGGATTTTACAATATATCACCATTTTATCATTAAATTTTCTGTTGTCACAATGTGGGATAGTTAGGGTGATGGAGAGAAAAAGTAAAAAAATACAGACGAATTTGGCTAGAAAATAGAAAAATATTCTTTCAAAAAGAAAAATATTTCAAATATTTTGAAATTACCAGCATCTCTCGTTTTTCGTTAATGTGTAGACAGAACATAATAAAGCTTTTAACGAATAAACGCGCCATATTTTTATATATATATATATATATATATATATATATATATATATATAAATATACTGAAAAAAACAAACAAAAATATGTAATTATGCGATTATCGTTAATATAAAGTCAATTATCGGACGTTTCGGTCTATTTTTAGATATTTTTCATTTAAAACATATATTAACATTAGAATATATAAAAAATTCAACACGAAAAGTCGATGACGTAATTATTTAAACGGAACTGTCTTATATAAAAATTTCAGTTATCTGTTTGGATTAGTTGTGCATTTTTATATGTTCTAATGTTAATTATAATGAAATGTCCTGAAGATTGTTCAAGAAAACATAATTTACGACTTTTGTTTGTTTTTTCCATATTTTTTTTTTCATTTTGTCGGATCTATTTATATTTGCTTTATATATATATATATAAATATATATATATATATATATATATATATATATATATATATATATATATATATATATATATAGATATGATATAAAAAAAAAAAAAACAAACAAAAATTAATATGCGATTATGCTGTTTTAATGTTTAATGTCAACGTCGGACGTTTCGGTCTAATAGACCATCTTCAGGACATATTCATAAAACATAATGACGACGTGTATATTTAAACGGAACGCTGATCTTATAAAAGATTTCTTATCTGTTTGGAATATCGTCTTTTCATGTTGAATTGTATATATATATATATATATATATATATATATATATATATATATATGTATATTTAGTATATATATGTGAGTGTATATTTTATGGAACGTGTGAAGAAAAATGGATATCAAGAACGCTATTAAGTCATTTACATATTTTGACAACTTTGTAAATAAAACAGGAGACTTATTTTTTATGTGTATTTCTGTATGTATAACTGCTCTTCCATGATATATATATATATGTGTGTGTGGGGGTGTTGGTGTGTGTTGCATTGAATGTCCAAGCCATTCCTTCAAATGCCAAACTAACGTTGCAAATGTTAATAATTGACAAGGGGTACTTATAAGATTTGAGTAGCAGATATACCTCTGATAACCTTTAATATAGCCGCCCTATCGTTTTGTCTGAAGACGTTGCTGTTATCAGCTTTTAGAACCAATTTAGGATAATTTGTCGAAAATCTCTTGAAACCGCAAAAATGTGGCTGTTAATCGACATTTGCAGCAATCTACAAAGATTTAAAAAAGCTGAACATTAAACGCACCCTCCCATTCTCCAACCCTCAATGTCGCTTAAAGTTACTGAGCCAGAATAGATGCATGTCAGAAATTGTAATAACATTTGAAGATAGAAAAAGAACGAGAAAATATTAGGAGGCCATATTTTTTAGGTACACCCTTGTGCAAATTAATTGTACAGGAAGATGTGGAGGGCCATGACCACCTACACCCTTGTGTAAATTAATTAAAACAAATGAAATAAATCCGTTATTATTTTCTTTTTTTTCGTATTTTTCCAATGAAACATGACCCATCGCATATGTTATTACTTCGTCTCTCCATTCCACGAAGTCTTTCCTTACAGATTGACAACAGATTCTAAATTGGATTTAAATCAGGAGAGTTTCCGAGCAAGCCAATAGTACTTTGATTTGCTCACTGGTAAAGCTTGCCAGTGTGTTCTGCGGCGTTAAATTTTCGTACGCTTCCTTGGAGTAACGTCCATCGCAGACAATGGCCGTAAGACAACTAATCGACAGTCGAGACAATAGTGTCTGGTTATGATAAAAATCTGATGCAATCACGGATGATGCAATATTTTTCAAGGCCAAACAAATTTCATCATATACCTTAAAAATAGATTCATATTACTGCACACAACTGCAGATGATCTAATCTGAGGGGGAAAAATAGAAATTGATTCCACCCTGTTACTCTAGTGGGTGTAAAACTGACCGTATGTTGAAAAAAAGGAAATTAAAGCAGTTGTTTCAATTAATGTGCGCAACGGTGTATATTGGTTTGCATAATAAATACTGACGACATGTGTCCACGAATACATTTTCTTTCAGAAAATAAAATCAATGGATGTATTTTTAATCCGAAAGTGTTATTACGTTATTGTCGTGGATACTTCGTGTTTGAAATAGACAGTCCATTTTTATTTATTAAACAGAGTGTATTACGTCTGTCTTGTTCATTTTCATCTTTAAGGAGATTATTCAGCCTTATAGATGGAGAAGAGACTAGAAGAAACAGAAATGCAGTTCTACAGAAGGATGATGAGAATACCATAACCGAACATAGGAGCAAAGACGAAATTTTCGAGAAAATGAAAACAAAAAGAAAACTTATACTTCAAATTTCCTGGAAACATAATGTGAGATAGATAGATAGATAGATAGATAGATAGATAGATAATGTGAATAAAATGAGATAGATAGATATGAAAAGACTGTGATAGATATGAATAGACTAAGACAGATATATAGATAGATAGATAATGTGAATAAAATGAGATAGATAATGTGAATATAATGAGATAGATAGATAGATAGATATAAAGAGATTGTGATAGATATGAATAGACTAAGATAGATAGATAGATAGATAGATAGATAGATAGATAGATAATGGGAATAAAATGAGATAGGTAGACAGACAGATAGATCGATTGAAATAGCCTCACATATGAATGTGATGTGGTGATGGATAAACAAAGAATCAGATTGGAAATGATACGAAAGACAATCAAATCAATAAGAGACGTAGTATAATTACAGCGGATGCAGTCTGGCACAGGGCCATCAGATTATGGTTCTCTATATAGACCATGCCATTAAAACTTGATAAATCAACGAAGTTGTAGAGGCAATGGTTGCAATGAAAAGTGGAAGCAAAAAGGACAGTTTTATTTAACATCATGAAGAGACAGATGAAATTTCTAGGGCAAATAATGTAGAAAGAGGATTTAGTATATTTGATACCCACAGGACAGAGCGACAGCTCGAGAGTCAAAAGAACGCATAATGTACCTGCATTAGATTCCTTCCTGTTTCTTGCGTGGTCGCCATTTTGGAAACAATGCTGATGTCATCTGTGCTGTGGAGGAGTGTTTGTGGGACAAGTACTCCATCTTCTTCCGTGTTGGGGTTGCCATGCTTTAGCATCGTTTGATTAAGTTCATTGATATCAAGGACTATATTGCAAAAATATTGAAAAACTGTTTTGTTTCTTCAGTTCCTGCTAGGTAAGGCTTAGAACTTCATGGACGGCCCTCGTATAAAGCGGTTGTTTTTTTTTTGGGGTTTTTTTTTTTTAAGTTTTTGTAAAAAAATAAAATAAAAATCGTGGTGAGTTGTTTCGTAGTTGCATTATTTTCGTATTTTATATCAATGTCAACGGATTATCGTCGGGTGATTTCTAATGTTCCTTCCCGCGAGACAAAATTGGTGCAAAATTATCTTCCATTTATAGCTAAATGGATTACTTGAGGCCTGAAAGCGATGCTTATTATAACGATAGGCAAAAAAAAAAAAAAAAAAAAAACGAAAATTACTGAACGCTGGCTTTCAAGGCTAATAAATTGTGAATAATGTCTGCTGGAGAGCAATGGTTTACGAGCCAATCTCACATATTAAAAGTGTTGGGAGACTGCTTCTAATTATGTGTTATATTTTTATTACCTTCTACCAGACTCAACTGAGCATAACAAATATGAATACGTTCCTTGTTGCGGAGATAGTTTTGGAGTCCGGTAGTGTTTTATAGATTTGATCTTTATTTAGAAATATAATAGCCTTGTGCCGGACTATACAATTGCGCTAAGAAGTAACTAAACTACATCTCTAATTGATTTGATTTTGGTCTGTATTATTTCATGTTAGTCACACTTTATCCACTGCCACTATCTATCTATCTATCTATCTATCTATCTATCTATCTATCTATCTATCTATCTCAGTGATTTCATTTCTATCTATCTCTCCCATCTGTCTATCTATCAGTCTATCTATCTCTATATATATCTATCACAGTCTATTCATATCTATCTATCTATCTATCTATCTTAGTCATTTCATATCTATCATCTCACCATCTCTATCTCTATCTAACTCACAGTTCATATATATATATATATATATATATATATATATATATATATCGCATTTCATATCTATCTATCTATCTTAGTTATTTCAGATCTATCATTCTCTACCTTTATCTATCTCAGTCATTTCATATCTATCTCCCCCTCTGTCTATCTATCAGTCTATCTATCTCCATATATATCTATTGCAGTCTGTTCATATCTATCTATCTCACTTTGTTCATATCTATCTATCTATCTATCTATCTATCTATCTATCTATCTCAGTCATTTCCTTTCTATCTATCTCTCCCATCTGTCTATCAGTCTATCTATCTCTATATCTATCTATCGCAGTCTATTGATATCTATCTATTTATCTTAGTCATTTCATATCTATCATTCTCACCATGTCTCTATCTCTCTATCTATCTTGCAGTTCATATATATATATATATATATATATATATATATATATATATATATCGCACTTCATATCTATCTATCTATCTTAGTTATTTCAGATCTATCATTCTCTACCTCTATCTATCTCAGTCATTTCATATCTATCTCCCCCTCTGTCTATCTATCGGTCTATCTATCTCCATATATTTCTATTGCAGTCTGTTCATATCTATCTATCTATCTATCTATCTATCTATCTATCTATCTCACTTTGTTCATATCTGTCATTCTATCTCTGTTCGTATCTATCTATTTATCTATCTATGTTCATATTTATATCTATGTGGTTTTATTCTGACTTTTAACGTTGACGAAAATACGTGTTCCGCTGAAAATTGATTATGTGCTCCATTTTCTTCAGTTTATTTCAAATAATTCAAATGTTATATTCGCTCAAATTTAGAATTTCCTAATTCCAGAGGATCTTATATTTGTTTTACCTCACCGATTTTTCTTGGAGTAGAAAATCGTAGCTTGTCTGATCCCAAACTTCCCAAAAATTGAGTTTATTCCGCTCCATTATCTAAGCATTATATTTCCTTTCTTTTCTTTTAGATTGGTTCAATTTTCGACCGTGCGCCAATTGGAATGTTTCAACTCTGCCGGTGCTGAGTATCATTCAGCCATTTTTTATTATTAGTAATCAACTTCTGCCAATTTGGGAATCTTTCTGATGTTTCCCAGTAGAATTTAGAGATGCAAATTTGCTTTTGCGTACAGAAGAAGGAAAGAAATATTAATCCAGATCCAACTGAACTCTTATCCCACACAAAAATATCTGATCTGTGCTTGAAAAAATATCTGATCTGTGCATATGTAAACGCTTTTCAAAAATGCATATATATATATATATATATATATATATATATATATATTTATATATATATTTCATTTTTAACAATGAATCCATAAATTGTCATAATCGTAACCAGACAGAATATAATTTCGATTGTACACAAAAATATCGCCGGATTTCCAACATTCATTCAATTTCATTTTATTTCTTTTGTCCTTTTCTTTTCATGTATTTTCAAATGTCAACATTGATGTAATCATTTCTTTCCGTAGTGTGTATCTAAATTAGCCCCCCCACGCCACGTCTACAGCCCCAAAAGCCAGTTTATAAAAATAAAATCTATTTGTCATTCGTCTTACGTTCAGTTTTTAAATATTTTCTCTATTTCCCCCTCTCACTGAATACATACTAACACTTTCATCACCTCTCCTTCTACAATCTTAGATATAAACCTGTTTTACCTTCCCTTCCACAAAGTTAGATCTGCATATTTACATAAATTTGTTTTCCAGGCCTGGAGAAATTTTTCCCATTTGTATTTGCATAACGAGATCTAAAGAGTTGGGGTCAATTTTCCGACCTCAATGAAATAAATATAATCTCATGGCTTTTTAAAGGTTCGTGTTTTTATAATAATATTATTGCTCTGTCTCAGACATAGAGCTCTCGCTGGATCTATATACTTTAAGAAATATTCAGAGTGATTAAAAAGATTATCATCAATTAGTTGAGAATTTTTGGCAGCTGGCTTTTGTTTACATTCGTATACAATAAGTTAGAATTTCCCATCGGGTCTACCATGCGCCGATAGTTTAGGGCCACGATGCCAGTTCGGTAGGGTTTCGATCCCGGCTTGAAGCAACCGGATGTCTAGCCACAGTGATGAGATGTTATAGAGCGAAACGGGCCTGTATGTATGTGACCATATTATATATATATTATATATATATATATATATATATATATTTGTGCATTTAGGCAGCAATCCTTCTTTCATGGACATTTCATGTAATTTTCAATGAAATGTGCATATATATATATATATATATATATATATATATATATATATATATATAGTAGTACTCGTTTGGAAAAAAAACTTACAAACATCAGAACAAGACGAAACAAATCGCAAAAGTGCTTTAAGTCCTTAGTCCAATGAAAAAAACCGAACGAGTAGAAAAACTAAAACGTAGAGTGCTCAGTACGGTAAGTAGAGCGATAAACTAGAATAAATCCTAAGGAGCCAGGTAAACCTACGTAGGTTTCACCTAAACGGAACTTCAGGGTAAACCTGGCTAAAAAAGGAAATGATGGAACAGTATAGTACAGTTTTTTTTCTTAATGCTTATTAGTTTTTAATGTTTTTAATTCTTTATCAACACATACTCTTCCGTCATTTCCTTTTTTAGCTAGTTTACCCTGAAGATCCGTTAAGGTGAAACCTAGGTAGGTTTGACTGGCTCCTTAGGATTTAAAGTAGTATATATATATATATAGTTTATGAAAAACTAGGTAATCCGTATGGGTAAACCTAAGGAGGATAAAATCCAGAGAGCTCAATGTAAATCCAGAGCAAATAATTTAAATAAAAACAGACCACTTTAAGCCTTTTTTTCCAAAGAAAATTAGTGACCCTTTCTCTCATAACTTCTTTCTCTCTCTATGGGTTTTTTCTTCTCTACCCCTTCGATATCAATATATAACTTCCGTTATGTTAACCGTTTAAATGTGTCAATATCTGCTAACTCACTCATGTCTTTTCTCTCCCCCCCTCACTTCCTCACTTTCTTAATTTACATATGTTTAATACGGCCAGTCAAAAATGTGTAAATTTTCTTTTCATTTTTTGTTTGGAAATAAAATTTGATGATCCGCAGTCCTTTAAAAGGACTGTGGTGAAATAATTTATTGCCAGACATGAGTAAGTGGCAACACTGCGAGACAGTGACCTTGAGCAAGTAGACATTTCGCCATTTAGAATTCAAGATGAAATTCACAGTATCCCAGCTGAGATGTTGCAACAGTCAATGAGGAATCTCAACAGCAGATTTCAAGAATGCATTCGTTCAGAAGGATGCCATCTACAGGACGTAATTTTAAAAAAATGAAAATTCCATCATTGTTTCTTAAATGGCCTGTTTTAAAGTTTCAATTACTATGAATAAAATATTTATCTTTCATCACTCTTGGTTTTATTGGAGTGTTAAAAAGTTCCCGTTTTTTTGGGTCACCCTGTACAAATTTTTAATTTATCATATTCCCAACTAATGTATAAACATACCGTTCTTAAAAATTACTGTACGCAGATGCATAATAACTAAATATGGATAGAAAACATATATATGATAGTCTATATTTGCCGCACTATACGTAAAACTCAGTGCGTACAATATGCGTCAACACACACACACACTACACACACACACACACACACACATATATATATATATATTATATATATGGCTATACATATACTGTCATATATATATATATATATATATATATATATATATATATATATATATATAATAAAAGAAATATAGTCTTAAGGTGTGCTATATTTATGGGTAAAAAAACAAAAATATCAGAGATAGAGCGTGTATAAATATAAAAATGAACATAGAAAAGGTTTAGAGGCGACAGCCTGACGATTGCATATAGCATGAAACAGACTGTCGCCTCTAACTGTCTATGTTGACTTATATATATTTTTATATATATATATATATATATATATATATATATATAATGTATATCTATGCCACTCTTGACAGATTATTTGGATATTAATTAAATAACCAGGTAAGCAATGACTGGCCACTAATTTTGCATGTGTTTGCACAAAATCTTTAGGTAGCCAGTAACTTGCAGTAATAAGAGGATTACCTTCTATACCGCCGGACGAGTACAATTTGAGAAGCAAACCAAACTCGCACAGTGGGGAGGGTAGATCATCCAGCCAAGATCTAAAATGGGGAGATATTCAACCTTGGAAGATTTGCCAGTATAGCAAAAAGCGCTCAATAACAAAAGAAACCGGTGTTATGGTACAGGAGCTGAAGCATTAAGCCAAATAAGTACTCAGCAGGACCAGACAATAAAATCCACGCTAAAACATATACGATTTCAAAGTTTGAATAACCAGCCCGAAATAGAGTCTGCCCAAAATTAGGCTTCTGGCAGAAAAGTGCTTTATGCCATAAAAATGACAGCATTTGTTATATTAATTCAATTACCAGGTAAGCAATGACTGACCACTACTTTAAGTATCATGTGGTTGCACATAACCTTCAGGTAGCCATTAACTTGCAGTAATAAGATTATCTATCTATCTATCTATCTATCTATCTATATATATATATATATATATATATATATATATAGCCATCTAAAAATAATTACAAATTACATTCATAAATTAGATTCAAACTGATAAATATGTTACCGTAACTGTCTTTTACAATAATAAAAAAGAGTACTATTGGTCGGGTAAACAAACTGCTATAGTTTAAATTTTTTTTTAATATGTTCTCTATGAATGTGTTAATAAATACAGTATTTAACTTATATTAAATCCCTAAGTTATTTGTAAAAAAAAAATTAAATATTTAAATTGCTAACGAGCATCAAATTAATTTCTTCAAGTTTTTTTTAACATCTAAATTACTATCAGACATTAAAATCTATTTTTTACATAAATTGCTAAAACTTACCACCCATTACTTCTATATGCAAAACCCATTTATAGCCTCTTTCTCTTTACTTCCCTCTCCCTCTTCTTTCTTTTTCCTTTTTCTTTTCTATCTTCTCCCCTCCCATTTCAATATATCACTTCCGTTAAGTTAACCGTTTAAATAGGTCAAGGTCTGGTCACTCCTCCTCCCACAATACTAAGTATGATTGAGAGAGAGAGATATTAAATTAAACCCTCCCTAAACTCTACCATGTCTCTTTAACTACTCCTATTACCCTCTCTGTTAAATTACAAAAACTTACACTACCCATCAATTTTCATTTCATATTTCGTTTCATTTTTGGAAGTGCTCTCTGATTATCAGGAGTCCTTTAAAAGGGCTCTGGTGAAATAAATTATTATAATGGAACCTTAAAGTAGTCTATTTTTCTTTAATATATATATATATATATATATATATAATTATTATTGTTATTATTAAAATATTTTTATTGTAATAGATTATAATAAAAACATTTCAGATGGCTAAACAAAAACTTTCATCTTACGGAACTATAATCGTTCACTCTTGGGGCGATCGTAGTTAATAAAAATGATTTATTTGTGAAATTTGATAACAAATCGTTACGTCTTTTGAAATTTAAAATTAGGGAGGTGTAATGTCAGAATTAAAAAGAAATATACTTGTGTGTATGTCTGCATTAAGCATTTAAAAGTTAGATCAAAGCCAAAAAAAAGAAAGATGAAAAATAAGGTTTCGTGTATATAAAAACATGTTTTTATATACACAAAA